ATAGTAATACTTAAAGAATTAGTATTTTATACTTGATGAATTACTCCTTCAAAGTGTAGTACCAGTAAATGACTTGTGGCCGAGTTGACTTGTGGCCGAGTTGACTTGTGGCCGAGTAGAACGTAGCCAATTTTTTTGTGGCCGAGTTGACTTGTGGCCGAGTTAACTTGTGGCCGAGTTGACTTGTGGCCGAGTTGACTGCAGCCGAACTTTTTGTGGCCGAGTTGATTTGTGGCCGAGTTGACTTGTGGCCGAGTTGACTTGTGGCCGAGTTGACTGTGGCCGATTGACTTGTGGCCGAGTTGGATCGAATTCGTAAATACATACTTCAAAGAGCCGAAATGACCAGACAGGTTATTACAACATACATGGCCGGGAGGCTCTGTTTTGGTGACCTGACTCCCAGCCAATTTCGCTTCGTGCCAAATTCTCCCGTTTTCTATATCAAAATGTTGGTTGGCATGTATATATAGGCCTATGCATTATTAATTTTATCGGCTGCCGAGTACCGAACGTACTTTTTAATTATTTGTATATATTTAGCTTGTGTATTTTTAAACTTGAATATTAGTTGTTTATTTTTTTCTTTAATAGATTTCAATTATCACTGTAATGCAGCAAATTTATAGATGCAGTCGGCAAGGTTACAGATCATTCTGTTCATCTGCATCTGTATTAGAAAATGTTCTTACCTCAAGTAACAAAGAACGCACGATAGTGCTACTAAAAAAACTGAAACCCCTACGAATAGCGAGGGCAAAAACAGAGCGGAAAGCTGCTGTGTGTGTCCCTATGTGCACAGTGGATGGTCAGCTGTCATTTCTTTATACCCTGAGGTCGACATCACTTCCATCACATCAGGGTGAGGTTAGGTAAGTCAGGCATTGAGTTCAATAAATACTATTATCGACATGAAATTTGGGTTTTTTTTCAAATTCAATACAGGGCATAATAATAATAAATAATAAATAATAATAAAAACTTTAAAAGTGCAATAAAAACTCATTTGGGAAATCAGGTGCACGGGTAATTTTCTTTGATTCAATAATTTTTACCCAACCTTTTAAATTTTAAATTATTATTCTTAGTATAATTTACTTTTAATAATAATAATAATAATAATAATAATAATAATAATAATAATAATAATAATAATAATAATTTGAAAGTGCAATAATAATAACAGCAATAATATTAATGGCTTCACAACTTTTTAAATTTTAAAGTTTCATCATTTTTAACATAATAATATTAATAATAATAATAATATTAATAATAATAATAATAATAATAATAATAATAATAATAATAATAATAATAATAATTCAAAAGTGCAAGGGAAACCATTTGGGTAAATACTTACAAGTTTAATTAGGTGCAATGTTTGAAATAAGAATGTGTAATCTCATTTATTTTATCACTTTTTTCATGTCCTTAATATTTTACATTTTAGTCAATTTAGGCATTTTTATTGTTAATTTTTTTATGTTTATCTTACGTGAAACTGTTTGAAATTCGTTTAAGGACCCCAATGGAAATAAGTTTTATATATTCTAAACTTTCTTGGGTTACCCTAGGAATTAATGTCTTATCTAAATGTTCTTTATCATTTATCTGTTCTTTGTTGCTGTTTTGTGTCCAAGTAATATGTGATTTTAATTCCTGGCAAGAGAAAAAATAACAATTTTTTCTCTTGCCAGACTAAGATAATAAAAAAAATACATAAAGCACTTACAATTTCAATTTTATAATTATGAATAATGAATAATCAGATATAGAGTCTTATTTATTTATAATGTTTCAGTTTTCCAGGGGGAATGTGGCAAGATGGTGACTCGGACATCGTTGAGACAGGTCTTAGGGAACTGAACGAAGAACTTTCTGTTCCACCAAGTTCCATAGATGTCTGGGGAACATTAATACCTATGTTAGATTATGTAGGTATCATACAAAATTCTGCAAGAAAATCATTTTTTAAATTGCAGGGAGTCAATTTAAAACCTTTAAGATTGTCTTCAAACCTGAAAAGCTCTCCTTTTAATCCTTATTGCTATTTTGGAGGCCATGGTAGCCTGTTACGTAGTGATCCAGGGTTCAAATTTCCTTAAAATGCTACATCAGCGATCAGTTGCTTTTGGCTATGGCTTTACTACAGCAAGTTATTCTTCTACAGCAACAATCAACACTTTTTATTGATTGTTTTTCAGTATTATTTTCTATGGAAGTCTGGGTTAGGCAACTCAACAGCAAAAACATTGCTGTTGAGCCTGGGATTTTTCTACAGCAATTTTTGTCGGTGCTGTATGAAAATTAGAACCTGCTGTTGGAAACTACAGCAGCTTTACTACAGCAAGTTATTCTTCTACAGCAACAATCAACACTTTTTATTGATTGTTTTTCATTGTGACCCGCTTAGAATACTCGCAAAGCTGACACATGCAGCAGAGAATTAAGAAAGATGAACATTTTCTCAGGAATCTGGAAAGGTCTACATTTTTTTCTACAGTTGAGAATTTATTGAATGTAAAATTTGTTATTTTCTGTAGTAAAACTAAAAAGGGGAATGTTATATCTTTACATTTTAAACAGAAATCTATTGCCCAGTATTTGGGCATTTATATTGCCATAGTAATGAAGATCAAAGCTGCGATCCAACCGGCTCTGCCCCTGACCCCTGATGATTCCAGTTGAAAACTCGCACTCCCCTTTCCCCAATTGCAATCACGGATATGGGACTGGTCATCATCATCTTGCTTCTAAACATGCTATTTTAATGATTATTGATTAATTTCATTATATTATTTCATTGCTATTAATTTACTAAATTAATAATACTAACATATTAATACTTTTTTTCTTAGTCTCAGACAGTAGCAGTAACTCCGGTCCTCTGTTACCTTGGCAATGTTGAATTGGATAAATTAGAAAAAAACCATACATACACATTGCGGACTTTTAGAGGGGGGGGCGGGGGGGGGGGTAGGAATTGGGAGAAAAGCAGGAGGAGGGGTAAGGTTAGTTGGGAGGAGTGTTATGAGATTTAATCTGGAAAAATAGGGGATTGGATGGATTGAGGGGATGGGGAAGAATAGGAAATATGGAATAGGGATACAGAAGAGAGTGGAGGAGGAATTTGGTGATTGGGGAGAAATAGCATGGTTCTTGTCAGGGACAAGGATAAGGAGAGTGTAGGACGTAGGAGGTGATGAAGAGGAAAGAAATCATCTATGAGGATTACTAGGAAAATGTTATAGTGAAAATGCCAAAACTTTAAAAAAATTGTTTGTTTCTGGAATTTTTTTTATGTCCCATCTCGCAAGAAATAAAGGAAACTTTGCATACACAGGGCCCTTTGGTTCAGCAATAGTCACAGTTTACTCATAACACTGTAAACAAACAGGCTTCGAAAGCATGCACAGAAAACGTACATACAGGCCTACCTACAAGTCATGCTCATGTTCATACCATTTACATCATTCTCTGAGTTGGTCATAGTCACACGACACTACCCTAGGCCTAGATTCTAGATTTGTAACTAGTTCTGTTTTAGTACTACATTTATTATTATTGTTAGATATTTGAATCTTATGTTGACCTTTTTTATCAAAATCATTAAACTTTTCATACACCATGTAACACGTTATATTTTCATTGCGGATTTTTTGGGCTCAGTACGGACTCTAAAAGTCCGCAATGTGTATGTATGGTTTTTTTCTAATTTATCCAATTCAACATTGCCAAGGTAACAGAGGACCGGAGTTACTGCTACTGTCTGAGACTAAGAAAAAAAGTATTAATATGTTAGTATTATTAATTTAGTAAATTAATAGCAATGAAATAATATAATGAAATTAATCAATAATCATTAAAATAGCATGTTTAGAAGCAAGATGATGATGACCAGTCCCATATATAAAAATATGGTTTTTGACTAATTTTATTATTATTATTTTACTACTACTACTACTACTACTACTAATAATAATAATATTATTTTACTACTAATACTTACCATAGATATATTGTATACCATAATGTGACATAAAAATTACAATATTATTATTTTTGTTCTCCGCAGGTATCCGACGTCTTTAGTATACCCCTAAAGGTTCTCTCCAACCCTTTGTTTCAACGTTACACCCAGTATAGAGTACCAGCCACACCCACCAAAGCAAGCTTCACCTACACATTGCCTGTGTTCCTTGGTGGCCGTTACAAAGTTTGGGGACTAACAGCCCTAGCAACAGACTTGTGCTTACAAGCCCTCCTACATGAACACTATACACCTGCCGCTAAGCAGGTAATTGATAAAACAGCTGGGCAACTGAATACTGTTCCAATTGATACAATGCTGCATGTGAACAATACACCTGTGAAGAGTTGATGTTGATATATTTATAGTTGTATTGCATGTTATAATGCAAAATTTTAAAGGATATTATAAAAATGTATATTAAAAAAAATGGCAGTTTACGTTTTTGTGTTTAATCTGTCTGTGCAAGTATGACAATCCTGATACCACATGATTGTCTGTAAAGCTCATTTTAAAGATTCAATTCACAACCAAATTTTCCTTTGATAAATCATTTGTTTATTCAGCTTTTTACAGTCGTCAATGCACACATCAAATCAAGTATATATATGAAGTATAAAATATATTAGGTTTCATACACAATTCTGGTGGCAGGTTTTATTTAAACATGTACTAGTTGTGGAATACATATTTGACTACCTGGGAGCATTCCATTTTATAGCTTAGTAATCAGCACTTTGGCAAACTACCAGGTAACCTTTACTTCCTCCTTGGTGGAGGACCAAACAGTAGCGGATCAGTTCCACTAAATGGGTTAAAATACTAAAAATGACCATTAAATTTCCATTGGAATAGGGATTTAGTTCAACATTCTCAATTTTTGCAACCCCCATTTCCGCCCCAGAATGACACCAGCCTACGCCCCTGTGCTTAGCCTCCCTAAACTACCTCACCTCGGACTCAAACCCAATTGTTGATTTGGAAGCCAAAATTCTTTACTGTCATGCCTATTTTCTTTCACCTCATTATTATTTGGCATTAGAGAGTGTCACTTAATTATATTGAAGAATTAATCATTTATTTAGATAGTACAGAACATGTTATATTTTCATTGCGGATTTTTTGGGCTCGGTACGGACTCAAAATGTATGCATTTTCTTTTAGTTTTATAGCGTATGCGGATTTTATAAGTCCGCAATGACGATATAACGTGTTACAGTTAAACTTGCCTAAGTCGACTTTGCCTGCATGCCAAATTGTTGTGTTTTCCATTAATTAACCATTAATTAACAATCTGTAAGTCGAATATTATTTAAGTCGAACAAATTTTGGATTCGTCTTAGGCAAGTTCAACTGTAGTTTGCAGAACATTACGTACATTAACATCAAACATAGTACAGTATCTAATACTCACATCAATGGTTACTTAATATTCGGTGGTAAAAACTTACTTTTAAAATATTTAAATTTGATTAAAGATTTAATTGCACCACTTAATCCATTAATGAAATTGAGGTTAATGCAAATAAGAATATACACATTCGGTGGACAGACAATAATACTTTTTTTCTTTTTTTTGTTTATTTCTTCATGATAATTTGTGCAATGATATTAAATATGTTAACCAAAAAGAAATAAAAATAAAATAGTATATTTACAGTTATCAAACTTATCAATTATTATTACTATGTTTTATATTTTTTTTTGTTGCAGGGCAATTACAAAAAATAATTAAATACCATACTGCATATTATGCATCCATTATATTTTTAATTTTGTTACATGATTTAGTTTTTGAAAAACAGTTGAAGACAAGTTGTTACAGTACTTTTGTACTCCCTTTGGGATACGACTGGCATCAGTGGGAAGAACAAAGCTGAACTGAATATGATTACTAGTATATTTAAAATAACTGAAACACAATCAAGATTTTTTCACTGGAAACATGATGGGAAGAAGTTTAATATTGGTCATGACTTCTTAATTTAATATCCTTATAAAAATATATTGTGCATTCCTTCAGAAAATTACAAATATATTTTACATTGTTCACGTTGAAATTGACGGTGGCGGAAGATTCATCTGAGGACGGGATGATGCTGGCAAGAAAACTTTATCTGGAGTCTGTAATACACTAACATTTCGAAGATTTAAGTCCTTATTAATTTTGTTAGCACCATGCATGCGTGTGGACAGTACACGTGGAGCAGAAAAATGATTTGTTACAAGCGCACTTTTCTCTCGTGGTACGTAAGAGAGGCTGTATGATGTGGTGTAACGACTTAGACCAGCAGCCTGTTCCTCAGCGGCCCATTTTTGTTGGAGTTTCTCGCGTAAACCAAATTGAGTTGATGGGCCTGGTAAAACAAAACAAAAATGTATACAGTCATTCCATGAGTCTTCAGCATTTAACCAATCAGCCAGGTGTATTTATAAAGCATAACAAGCTGATTGCCAGAAATGATTGGGGGAACTGTTACACTGAATATATTATAGTACAGGGGCCTGGGGTGGCACCAGCGGAGGGGGGGGGGAGGCCAGGGCTCCCCGTCGGGGAGATGCCCCCCCCCCCCGGTCGGGGAAAAAAAAAATATCACAATTCGTCGGGGAGAAAAAAATTATATGTATATTTTTTCGATTAAATAAGCCTTTGAAACCCCTAAATTGTCAAAATTTTCAGGGGCTTCGCTCCCACGACCACTTCCGGAACCTTTTAGTCAAAGCTCGACCACGCCCACTTTGCTTTCGTCAGAGAAATTTGACCCCCCCCATCGGGCAAATCCTGGCGCCACCACTGCAGGAGGCTCAGGCAGGGCCAGTGCCCCGGGGCCCTGAGATGACACAATAAACATGTTACTATGGAAAACAACATTTTGATCTACACTTAGTCTTAGTGTCTGTAATTGTTTGAAATAGAAATCAAATGAAACCCCAAATCTAGGGCCCCACCAGCTACGTTTCCCTAGGGCCATGGCCACTCTCGGCAGCCCTGTAGTACAGTATTGTACATTATTAATGTTCTGTTTTATTATTATCTTTTATTTTTCTATTATAATGAATGGAAAGGTACAGAACCAAGAGAGAGACAAACAAGAAAATGATAAAGAGAGAAAACCAAGTTTCATGACATTGTACAAGTCAATTATATGACGAAGCCTAATTTCCATATATTTCTCCTGTGAATCGATTACTAAAATATATCTAAATATAACTATAATTTACAAACTGGGTCAAATCTGTAGTATCACTCCTGTAGCCTACTTTTTATTTAAATTGTTTGAAAATAAATGGTCAAGAACAAAGATACCAGAAATACAGGATAGAGCACTTGCATAGCAAAAATGAGGCGGAAATTGGTCCAGACGTACGCGGCGCCCTTCTCTTTTTATAATGCAAGTTTTCTATACTTGGTCCAGACGTACAGGGTGCCTTTCTGTTGCTAAGTATTTCCCGACGCACACAGCGCCCTTCATTTTCCAATAATGGAGAAAAACGTTATCACTTAATCAGAGTCCGGTCATACGATTCTGTGCTTTTGTCTGTCATTTTATTGTTTTGATTTATTTATGCCTACTTGTTTGTATATTATGGATAATGGCAACGATTTCAACCTCTGCAAAAAGAGGTTATGTATTCACAGTTGTGTAACGGTGGCAGAGTTTTTTTAGCTCCAGCCGTACGCGGCGCCCCACTGTTTGTATTCCCACCATGCATTTCGGTGGAACAGTTTTTTCCTGTGGAGAACTCTATCCTTGTGTTTCTAGTATCTTTTGTCAAGAAACAGAGACTATATACCTTTTTCAATGGGATGATCAGATTTTTCGGGCACCCAGGAGAGAGTATGGGAGTCCCAGTGACGTAGACTGGGCAAGCGGTCCATTGGTTCACGTTCTTTCTTATTGTAATGCTCATCATACAAAGAAATCATGTTGTTGGAGTAATGGTTTCCATGGTGATTGAAAATAAGGGCATTTGGCAGACCCTGTAAACAACAGAATATTTAGTTATTTTGGTGGATTATAATATTATTAAATTAAAAAAAAATAATAACATTTGAGATCACATAATAAATTTAGACGATAATAATTTAGTTTTTGTATAAAATATGGATTATTAAATACAGTCATCAAAGTATACAGAATCACATCATTTAATGGCTTAAATAGAAAGTTTGGTATTATAACATAGGGCACACCCTCAAATTAATATTTTTGAATTGTCAGGATTTTATATGAATACAGTATAACACCTTCTCTTCTTTTCTTTGTGCATAAAATAATGTTGCTCCCCAACTCCCAACATCTTTGCTAATTAACAGAGTAACATTAAAGGTTAAAAATATTATTTGGAGAGTAGGCCTACTTAATTAAATACAGTACCTCATTTTGTAACATTGCTGACCGCCTGGTCATTACATCTGGCCTGAAGCAACTATAATCCTTAAAATCCATTCTGTGTGTTGATGTTGAGTTTATTCTGGCTTTACTCCACTGTTAAAAAAAGAAAAATACATTTATACATTTATTTTATGACCATTTTAATCCACATAAACCATGTCGGTATCATGGTTTTCATCATCCTAGGCCTAGCTAGGCATGATACAGCAGTTAACCATAAACTTGGTAGGCAGCAGTACAAAAATTTAGAAATTGTTATGCTTAGTCTTACTAGTAAGTGCAGTAGTAAGAATTCGATCCAACTCGGCCACAAGTCAACTCGGCCACAGTCAACTCGGCCACAAGTTAACTCGGCCACAAGCCAACTCGGCCACAAGTTAACTCGGCCACAAGTCAACTCGGCCACAAAAAGTTTGGCTACAGTCAACTCGGCCACAAGTCAACTCGGCCACAAGTCATCTCGGCCACAAATCAACTCGGCCACAAGTCAACTCGGCCACAAGTTATTTATTGGTACTACATTGTACTAATTGTTATTATTATTGCTGTTATTATTGTTATTATTATTGTTGTTTTTATTACCGTTAGTTTTAATATTAATTATTAGTCTTAGCATTAATATTTTATATTGTTCAAATTCTGCTGATATTATTATTATTACAGTACCATATAAATAATAAATAATTTTCGATTTTTTATTATTATTATTCATATTATTATTATTATTAATTAGTCTTAGTATTATAATTTTAATAATAGTAATTTAAAAAGTTGTTGTTATTGGCGTTTTATTAGTATTTTTCTCATATTATTATTATTAATATTATTGTTGTCACCTTTATTATCGATATTATTACCCTATAATTACTAAGTAGGCCTAGTATTATAAGTATCATTATTATTATTATTACTAATTAGTATTACTATTATTATAAAAATAAACATTATCTTTAATTTATTATTGTTGTGTTATTGCTATTATCACCTTCAATATCGTTGTTATCACTAATTAGTTATTAAAATTGATATTTAAATATCGTTATTATTACCATACCGG